CCGTAACGTAAAGAAATCCTGTTCTGCTCTACGTTTTGGGAACGCGACGCAAAGGATCACGCAAACTCTCTTCGCGTTCCCGTAACGTAAAGAAATCCTGTTCTGCTCTACGTTTTGGGAACGCGACGCAAAGGATCACACGAACTCTCTTCGCGTTCCCGTGACGTAAAGAAATCCTGTTCTGCTCTACCTTTTGGGAACGCATCGCAAAGGATCACTCGAACTCTCTTCGTGTTCCCGTAACGTAAAGAAATCCTGTTCTGCTCTACGTTTTGGGAACGCGACGCAAGGGATCACGCGAACTCTCTTCGCGTTCCCGTAACGTAAAGAAATCCTGTTCTGCTCCACATTTCGGGAACACGACGCAAAGGATCATGCGAACTCTCTTCGCGTTCCCGTAACTTAAAGGGGAACTCCGGTCCAAAATCACCCCCATTTTTTATTGCGGAATCCATTAGAGTATGTCGTAAGTGGTAGAATGGCGAAAACCGGAAGCTTCTACGACAAGGATAACCTAAATTACCAATTGCAATTTTCCATATTTGGCACGAGGGGGCCCCCGCCCACCCTGTGACGTAAAACGTTCTCAGCCCGGTCCACTCAGATGAAATTTTCAAATAATTCAAGCAAGAATGAAAAGTCCTTGGCCATTGTTGAAGTGCTTGTTGTTCTGTGCCATGCCCGATTTATTGTCACGACTCGCTGCTGCGTCTCTGGATGCAACAATGTCACGAAGAAAGAGGCGCCTGCGGGCTGTCGTAGCACGGCTTTCCTCTGGCTGACGCGAACCTGACGACAGCTTGGCTATGGAGAGTATGTTGGAAGGATTTTTCTCCGACGAAAAATAATCGTGTCTGCACTGAGCATTTCACTGAGATATGCTATGAAAGAGATTTCCAACAAGAGTTTGCACAAAGCATTGGTGGCTATAAGCAGAAGCAGCAGCGACGCTTGAAGCCAGGGTCTCTGCCATCCTGAAACTTGGCGGTGCATGTCATACTAATAGTTAGTAGCTCCTCTACCTCTGCTGCCAGCAAAAGCAGACCATCTTCGATTTACTTCCACCACGGGAACGTGAGCACGATGAGGTAAGTGAACGGCATGATTTTGTGCCGTCCAGAACGTAGCTCTAAACGACTACAGTCCTACTCAAAGTCCTCTACTCAAAATCCTAGTCAGTGAAGTCGAGAATTGATGTAATGTACATGGAACGTTATCATGTGTGTTATTTCGGTTCTCTTTATCTGTAAGTTTCCATTGCGTTACTTTCCGGTTGCAGCTACACTGCCACAAATACAAGGTACAGTATGATTTGTAGTCTGGAAAATTTCCATGCTGTCATACTGAAGTGGGCACCAAGACGTGTCCACTTTTCGTACAATGGCATGAGAGCACGGGTACAGTCGGCATGTCTGTCCCACAATGCCAATATAGGGAGAGCGCACGCCAAAACCAAGGAGGGTGTGCTCAGGTACAGGCTGGAATACACCAAGAGCACAAAGTGGCCAAGAAGCTGCACGACAATGTCCTGCAACTTCTTGAAGGACCTGTTGAACGATGTGCATACAACCATTCTCGGCATTCGCCACGGCACCGGCACAACCCCATGCTCCCGAACACAGTACAGTCTTGTGCCATTGTATCTGTCAACTTTACCAGATTGTTCATGCAGCTGCATTGGTGCAAAGCATGCGCCCACCCGAAAACACAAATATTGCCCGAGTCAAGAATAGTTATAAATCGTGTCTGTCAACTGTTTTCTACATTCTGCATGCACATGTACCAATGATTATGTGAACGTCAACCAGGCCAAGAAGCATTATCATCATCATCATCATGTCCAACTGCTTCCTCAAAGCCCCAGTGCGCATCTGCATTGGCTTTTGGTACAGCTGCTTTATCTTCGATACCACGCAAGACGGTATCACACGCCGCTGCTTGCGTCCAAAGTATCCATGGGTGAACCATGTGTATTGTCTATACGCCACATGTCTCCAAATCCTGCACAAAACAGTTGGAGAGATGTAGATACACATACCACGAGTGTCTTCATGATTGTGTAAAAGTAAATAGTTTCAGTGTAAATAGTTTCGGATTCGAATTAATATTTCTATGGGCTACTATACTAAAGACACTTTGGCCTTTTTTCAAATTTACATCACTTTTACACACAGTTGAAACACTTACAGTGCTAGGAATAGTATGAATGAAAGACATCGTTGTACCAGTATAATTATATTGGCATGGGTGCAATAGAACTTCATGATTGTGTGATGGAAGTTGGTGAATTTGAATACTGTACACAAAATCATTGCACAACACTTCCCATCTACTTTGTACCGGTACATGAAACATGGAAAGAAAGGAAATAATGAAACCGATTCAGTGTATCCTCACCTGTTTGACCACGGTCCACACCTTGCCCGAAATTCTTCGAAGGAAAGCAATGCCACCTCGAGCACTGATTTTTGCAGGCAAACAACAGCAAACTCTGAGTGCTGCGTGACGCACTGCAGCCCTTCCTGCTCGCCGCGTTTACTGAAAGCTGCAGGAACCTCCCAGCAACAAGTCGACTCGACCTCGCTCCACATCATGCTGCATTGTCCGCAACGGCATCAAGCAGTGCTTCTCACGCGAGCACTTGCAACCAAAGCGTTCTCTTCACGTTCATCTGTTTTGTAGTCTCAGAAATATTACTTGTAGACAGTTTCGCAGACGCTGATGCGCGCTTCTGCTCGAACCTAAAAGGCCTCGGTGTTGTTGAATCCGAAGTGGCGTCCACCTCCACACCTCCCGTGGTCTCCTCTTCCTCCAACATGATGATCGAATGAATACTAGTACAAGGGTTATTGATTGAAGAAAAACAGTGAATACCTTTTTCAAAATTTCTGCAGGTCTACCATTTGAATAAAAAAATTTGGAGGTCACTGAGAACGTTTTACGTCACAGGGTGGGCGGGGGCCCCCTCGTGCCAAATATGGAAAATTGCAATTGGTAATTTAGGTTATCCTTGTCGTAGAAGCTTCCGGTTTTCGCCATTCTACCACTTACGACATACTCTAATGGATTCCGCAATAAAAAATGGGGGTGATTTTGGACCGGAGTTCCCCTTTAAAGAAATCCTGTTCTGCTCTATGCTACAGGTAGAGAAGTCACGTGGAATGTGTACTGGGAATTTCCCCTTCCATATTTGGCAGTTTTCTGCATGCAGCTGATCGATACCCAGCAAATCCGTGCGCATTTCTCTGCGTGTGCCACAACGTAGAGAACCTCATCTCCGCGTAGAAATCTGGAGCCAAAACACGCGAAGCCACATACTGTAACCCAGACACCTGCTCTCTACGTGATTTCTCTACGTTTCACGTATAGCAGAACCTCTCTGATTGGCCTCCCAGACGTAGACGTCGCTACTTTGGCATGATGGGGGAAGTGACAGCCCTTTGAATTTAATTCGAAGGGACGTCGGAAAGGGTGCGGCAGGCGTGGCCAAAGATTCATCTTGTGACTTTTGAAGCAATGAAATATGGGCTATTTTGGCCCAATTTCCTTAAAAGTTTCCTGGGGGAGGACCCCGGACCCTTCATCCGCACAAATGTCGAATATCTTCCGACATCCCTGAACTAAACGGCCAACGCCATCGAAATGTGCTAGATCTACAAGCAGCATCAAGAGTATACTCTTGGTAGAACTGTAAGAAGGACACGCCCTGTGGGGATTTCCCAATGAAAACCAAACCAACCTATAGATTAACAGTTTCCTCTGAGACAAAAATGCGATAATACTCATAAAAAGGACACACTTCAGGCTCATTACAAACATCTTGAAACCTTTGTGTCATTATTGCAATTTTCGCTGTTTACTTTAGCTATCTTCTTTTTTGCGCTGTTTTACCACCTTCTTACTGTATTTAATCCACTGTTCCTGTTCCTTTTCCCTTGCCTGTATTTCACCTGACGAGAAGGCTTGAAAGTATACTTGTGAAGACAAAAACTTTCAAGATGTTTGTAATGAGCCTGAAGTGTGTCCTTTTTATGAGTATTAACCTATAGATTCTTTGCAACTTCATACCCTTTTTGGTTTGGGAGGTCAATACAAATGTACCAAAGAAGAAAGCAAAGTGCTGCAGCTCCGCATCGACAAAGAATGCAGAAAGAGCCAGAATTGAAGCCGACAACAGATAGATGTTCTCGAGTATTGAGAAACTGAATCGATGTACAGAAAGAGTGACAGAAAGAGACGGATTTTTTTGGAGAAATAGAGAGGGAGCATGAGCAAGCAGACCAGCAGATGTACGCACACATGTCATACAACGACAACAGAAAGGAAGACAATTTCAAGGAAAGATAGATTGAAAGAGACGAGATGAACGAAAGAGACAAATGAAATACAGGCAGAGAGAGAGAGAGAGAGAGAGAGAGAGAAGAGAGAGAGAGAGAGAGAGAGAGAGAGAGAGAGAGAGAGAGAGAGAGAGAGAGAGAGAGAGAGAGAGAGAGAGAGAGAGAGAGAGAGAGAGAGAGAGAGAGAGAGAGAGAGAGAGAGAGAGAGAGAGAGAGAGAGAGAGAGAGAGAGAGAGAGAGAGAGAGAGAGAGAGAGAGAGAGAGAGAGAGAGAGAGAGAGAGAGAGAGCGAGAGAGAGAGAGAGAGAGAGAGAGAGAGAGTGGGAGAGAGAGTGGGAGAGAGAGTGGGAGAGGGGGAAGAAACAGGGACACTTAGACAGAGGGAGAGCAAGAGAAAGCAGGAGAGTGGACGAAGGCAGAACATTGAAGTAGAGCAGGACAGAAGTCAAGAATTGGTGGTAAAGACTGGAAGCAGGAGAAGAGATCACCCACATGTTCATTCATGAAAAAGAAAAGAAATTGGGTGGCCAGCCAATTTGAAGGCAAGGTCGATTCAACCTATGCATCTAATGCGCTAACACCATTATACCATGCGGTTTGAAACAGTGTTTGGCCTCAACCTGCTTCAAGTAAGTATAATGTAATCTATTCTATAATAATATTATTATAAGGCCGGTATAGGAAATTATGGTATCCTTCATGGGTGCTTCACGTGGACGTTAGCATGGCCGAATGATGGACTTGACGGATAGATCACAGTTCAACAGGTTCATTATACTTTCCCACCCCTGGAAACACAGGACAGAGCATGCACGGAGTAGAACATAAGAAGTCATTAGAATGACAGTGACAGGAAATTTTTCTCTTTAACTACTTTTTAACGGTGCTCTTTCCCTGACGCCCAGTAAACTATTGTGCGCGGAGCGGTGCTTTCTTCCTGGTTTACGCAGTGTATTGCCGGGTATTCTTAATTCTGATGTGCTCCAGATGGCAGTTGTGAGACAGTAAAGTGTCATGCAGCTGGCAGGAAACCAGAGATCCATTACTAGGAGCAACTTCCTGCTTGCGGCGTGACAAAATACTCGCGGTCAAAGTTGCAATGCCCCTGTTCCAAACAAAGTTTTGTTATTCTCTGTTCTGATGCATGCTTGAAGGAAGTCCCTTATCTTAAGCGGGACTAAAATTGCAGCTATGTTTATCCCATGTCCGGCGTACAATATGTCGTGCAACACCGCAATTGCGTGGGCAGGAACTTTGAAATAACAGCCCAGGCTTGAATGGTAGTACCCAGGCGCTTTTGTGGATAACCTGGTTCTGTGCCGCCCGCATGCACTCGCTTTGCTGCTGCGGATCGGCAATACAATTGCATTTGCGGTGAAGTGAGGGAATACAAAACCTAGTTAGTGTGAGGGACTACAAAGTCCAGTTAGTGTGAGGGAGTCCTCGGACTACAAAGTCCAGTTAATGTGAGGGACTACAAAGTCCAGTTAGTGTGAGGGACTACAAAGTCCAGTTACTGTGAGGGACTAAAATGTACAGTTCATGAGTGTGAGGGACTACAAAGTCCAGTTAGTTTGATGCCACCCCACTCCGCGAACTACCGACTAAACGGCGCGTTTGGAGGTATGCTCAGGCAGACTGGGGCTGGCTTCGCACTTCTACTCAACAGCAAACTGGGATATATCAGAAGACCCCGAGGCGTCATGCAGATCAGTAACCGCTGTTGTCATGGAAGGCATGAATCGCTTTATTCCACACAAAGAACTTTCGACGAAACCAACAGATCCATCCTGGTGGACGCCGGAATGCTCAGCCGCTACCCAGGCAAAGAAGAATGCATGGAACCATCTCAGGAGACACCCCACCTGCCACCAGCAACTCATTGACTACAATGCCAAAGTCCGAGCCTCTGCCAATTGCCTTCGTCTCGCAAAGCAGGCAGAATCTGCCTGCATCCGAGATCGGCTCAAACCTGGATCACTGCGAAACAAGCAATGGTGGTCACTCCTGAAGCAAGCTGCAGGCTCTGGCCGCAGCTCGTCTATCCCTGTCCTACGCAATGCCCAGGGCAGAGAATATGTCACCAACCAGGAAAAGGCTACTTGCTTTGGAGAATTCTTTGCGAGCAAATGCAGTCTGGGTGATCAAGATCTACAGCACTCCGACCTTCCTGACTTTCCTCCTAGGTGTACATCTGCCCTGACAACTGTGATTTCAGGAAGCGACAGTCCAGTGCCAGCTCCGCCAGCTGGATCCAACCAAGGCTACCGGACCCGATGGCATCCCTGTCAGAGTTCTGAAGCAGTGCTCAAACGTTTTGGCTGCACCACTTGCCAAGCTGTTCTCACTCCGTTTTCGGTGCCATGTCCAGCCGTCTCTCTGGAAAGTAGCCCGTGTGGTCCCGATACACAAGAAGCAATCTCATTCTGCTGTTAAGAACTACCGACCTGTGTCCTTGTTATCTGTTGTCTCCAAAGTCATGGAGAAGATTGTCAACACTGCCATAATCAATCATCTTGAGCATGAAAAGGCTCTGTCCATCCACCAGTACGGATTCCGGCAGGGGCTCAGCACATCTGACCTTCTCACGTCTCAAAACCACTCCTGGGTCTCCGAAGTCAACCGTGGTGGCACAGTCCGCGTGCTGGCTGTAGACATAGCAGGAGCATTCGACAAAGTTTCACACCGAGGCGTGTTCCACAAGGCTGCGTCATACGGCATCACTGGCCCCCTCCTCAACTGGCTGTCTGACTACCTGTATGACAGGAAGTTGCAGGCAGTAGTCGGCGGAGCATCTTCAGAACCATACAAGATTGATGCTGGGGTCCCACAAGGGAGCATCCTTGGGCCCACACTGTTTTTACTGTACGTGAATGACGCCTGCGACGTCCTACCGGAAGGGATCACTCCGGCTGTTTACGCAGATGACACCACGCTTTATGCCCACACCCCAACGCCACATGCTGTGACAGAAGTGTGCCGCAACCTCCAAGCTGGTGTGGATGCACTTGCTGAATGGGGTGCTCAGTGGCGCGTCACTTTTGAGCCAACGAAATCACAGGCCATGACTGTGTCCCGCCACCCCAGACCCTGGGAGACACCACCTATCAGGTTCAATGGCACAGCGGTCCCGGAATGCTCGCGGCTGAAGCTCCTTGGAGTGACGTTTGATGCCCATCTAACATACTCGGAGCATCTTCGAGGAACTGCAGTGCGTGCCACACAGCGAATTGGTTTCTTCCGGAAGGCGTGCCATGTCCTGGACCCACCGGGCCGGGCCACAGCATACCGGGGGTTCATTCGACCTCTAATGGAGTACTGCCCACTTGTATGGATGGGAGCTGCGGCTACCCATCTCTCACAGCTGGACCGAGTCCAGCATCGTGCCCTCACCCTGATTGGGACAGAGGCTGCAATGGACACTCTGTCCCTGCGGCGCCGTGTGGCCGGCCTCACAACTCTGTACAAGCTCCATTACATCGCAAGCCCACCAGCTCTTGCAGCGACACGCCCAGCCAGAGCCATCGCACCCGCCATCGCGCCTGCCACACGTCGCCGCTCTGCAGCCAACCTTGCGCACGAGCTTCAACTCCAGACAGCCCTACCTGCCAGGTCGTGCAATGTTGCGATGCACCGTCTGCCAAAGGGATGCAGCAGTTCAAGGTTCTGACCTACCGCTACCTGAAACGGTCGGGTTGGTCATTGGCCACGGACATCGCCCCCTAGGCTACTGCCAGTACGACCCTGTTCATGTTCTCGGAGCACTCCCTTCTCATCAAACTCCCAATCCATCTGTCTTTATCTCTCTCTAACTCTCCTCCATTCTCACTCTAATCTTTCGTCAAATCTACACAGCAATCAGCCTCTACTTTCGCCTCAGCATCATGATCTTGATACTGCTATATTTGTACTTGTTTGCGTACTTGTTTGCACTCATATCTTGGAATAACAAGTTTCATGGTTTCCTACCCCCCCCTCTCTTTCCTACCCTTAGAGTTCTTACTCTCCTGCTCCCCTCCCCACCCTTCCACTCCCCATTTTGTTTCCTTTGGTGCACATGTGCAGCTGTGATGCCGAGACCCTTGGTCGGCTGAGCTTCACAGGTCCCACCCACTCCGTCCTGCTGGATATGTACCATTGCGTCGAGTTCTTCTCCTCATTTTAGTTCATCATGCAGTGAGTGTTCAATAGTAAAAAATAAAATAAAATAGTGTGAGGGACTAGAAAGTCCAGTTAGTGTGAGGGACTACAAAGTTCAGTTAGTGCGAGGGACTACAAAGTCCAGTTAATGTGAGGGACTACAAAGCCCAGTTAGTGTAAGGGACTACAAAGTCCAGTTAGTGTGAGGGACTAGAAAGTCCAGTTAATGTGAGGGACTACAAAGTCCAGTTAATGTGAGGGACTACAAAGTCCAGTTAGTGTGAGGGACTACAAAGTCCAGTTAATGTGAGGGACTACGAAGTCCAGTTAATGTGAGGGACTACAAAGTCCAGTTAATGTGAGGGACTACAAAGTCCAGTTAGTGTAAGGGACTACAAAGTCCAGTTAATGTGAGGGACTACAAAGCCCAGTTAGTGTAAGGGACTACAAAGTCACCAGTTAATGTGAGAGACTACAAAGTCCAACTTAGCAAGGCGTGCTGCACCTGACATTCGGAAAGGTAACGGCTAGTGAACCAAAAACCTGCTGTGGAGAAGAAGAAGAAGAGGAAGACTTACTTTTCTGACACAACAGACTCGGTGCAGCATGACTTAGTTTGGGCGCAGAAGTTGGTTGTGTTGTAAGGGTTGGAGTGGAGCTGTTAGCCCAGGCCTCAATGCGTGGAAACAACCCATCCTGCTTGTTATGCACACAGTCCATCAGCTCTGCCTTTAGCAGTTCAAAGCCCTGTTTGATACATTCCTGCGAGGAGAAAGAGTATGAATATGACGTGCCGGGAACACTGAATTCTTCCACCTGATATTTACCCTTGTCCGGATGCTGGCAGAGGTTAATTCCTGTTGCAATATTCAAAAGAGAGGAGAAAGTACAATGTACAACAGCATAGAGGATCAGACTCGGTGTGCTGGATTGTGCACATTTTGATCCTGGATTGGCAAGTATTGTGTACAGCAGTGCATGCGTCGGTTCAACATCGTATTTCGTTGTATACGCCAAAGTCGCTTCACAGGCAGAAAGTCGACAGGGTGCGGGAATTAGAGACGGGGCGGATCAACGCGGTAATTTACGGTACTTGTAAAACTTACGTTTATAACACAACACATCCGGCACGGTATATTCCCATCCGGATGCCGTTCCATTTGAAAGCCACGGATCGCTCTTGAACGTCCACCCCAAGGCATCCGGGTCCTTCCTTACCATACAGTCGCTCACGGCTGGGTCAGATAATTGCATATCGTTCAAGCGGCACTTCTTGTTTGACTCGTGAAACGTATATCTTGTACTTGAGCGAGGTACGCGTTTTACAACATATGTTCCATTGCCTGCCGTGCACATTTCACTGCCTGTGGGATGGAGGAAAGAGTATACAACACACTATAATATTAGGGGCATGTATACCATCAAGCACTCACGTGGCCGACCCCATCTCAGAGGGATTGACAATAATAAAAATGATATAAAGCGTGCCCAATATTGATATTTCTGACTGTTTTGAACTGGCTCTAGACAACAAATTTAATGACTGATGCTTGTGGAAAAATGTGTTGCGCTTGTGTAGTTGTTCTTACTGCGATACGTTCTAACAATAATGAGATGCCCTTTGTTGGTTCTTCTGCCTGGTTTCATTGACAGACGCGATAAGCCCATGGATCCTTCCATGAGTGACATGCGAACTGTAACTATTATTACTATACCATTAAACTCGGATGAAGAGGCAAGGATTAAAATCAAAAAAGAGAGAGGACCCTAAGTTTACAAGTTATCCGTATGTGCACGTATGTGCATGTTGTAGTTTTGTTTTGAAAAGTGTGCCAAACATGTGTGTAATTTGTATGCGGTTACAGTGATGGAGAGTTACTCTTAACTCGTATCCTGATGTCCTTTTCCTTTCTAAACTTGTGTGTTTTTTTAAGAAATAGAAAGGCCCAACCCTGCCTTGCCAGTTACGTGAACTTACGGGGGTCGCCATGGCAAATATTAATAATTGTAATTCCAAATGTACTATTATGAGATATTTAATACAAAACCGGCCTTCAACACCGAACACACAACTGCCTCAAGACCAGATATCCGCTTCAGCCACCACAGTCACGACAGAGAAGTCTATGGCTGGCGGGGGACGAATTCGCTGTGCGCCCCGCAAACAAGCAATGCTGGATTTCAGGAGGGCAAAAGACAGTCGGCACCGGATCCACGACACGACTTGGTTGTATGGCTCTTTCGACTTCTCTGAGATCAGAGACGCGGCACGCTTGTAGAAGCTGGTGGCGGATTTCCCCATCCCACCACTGGCTGAGAAAACCAGTGGTAGGAAGATGGCATGCTCAACATCCCTGACGCGTTGGCCATAGTGTCAACGCCTTTCCTTCTCATGGTGCTTGTACGTGCTGGTGAGTGAGGAAGTCCGATTCGATTGCGCGAAAGGGTTGAAAACCCGTACATCAAGAAACACACCTTCGAATCGTCCACCCCACACACCACTAGCCGCCACATCCAATCGGGCCTGGTCGTCAGTGATTGCCGTTCGGTACTGCAGCCTTTCTCCAGTTGGTGGCTGGATTCGAGGCTCGACTGCCACATTCGTGGCAACTCTCTTGAGCAGATTCGCTGTCACGTCACGAAGCTCGTTGTGACAGATTGTCGGGTAGCCGCCAGTGCTGCAGGAAAGAGCGTGGGTCACATCGAATGGCTCACCACACACACACGCTGATGGTAGGCGGCTGGGCTGCCATCCATACCGCAGAGCTAGACCATCCCACACGAACGATGCAGCAGCTCCCCCAATCCGGCATGCCAGAAACGCTCATGGAGGCAGAGTTTCCATTTGGGTGAAATCAAACATGGCCTTCCAGCACCAGGACCGGTTCAGCACGGAACATCACGAAGTGATTTGGATATCTGCATCAACCTCTAGCTGGTCCAGGATTGTTATCTGTGCACTCTACTGGTCAACGGCGCTTGGACCCGAGAAGAAGTGGAGAGAGAGAGAGACATCACTTGGAAGGAGCTGTATGCCCTAGCTGGTAGTCGCCACTTGGGGCCATGCCTAGGCAAAGCTCCGTATCCTTCTTCACTTCGATAATTCTGCAGTCGTGGACTGTGTAAAGTCGGGCAGTAGCAAATCAGCCCCACTGATGCAACTACTCCGCGGACTTTTCTTTGTCTGCGCCAAACATAACTTTACCATTTCAGCCATCCATATTGCAGGGAACAAGAATCTGATTGCTGATTCTCTGTCACGCTTCTCTATGCAGGCATTTCGGCGGCTCGTTCCCAACGCCAAGAACCTACCAGACGAAGTGATCTGGTCCCTGTACATGGGGAAGGAAGCTGCTACGCTGGTTGTGCCGTTGCCCGGAACACACGGTGCACCTATTCGACCGGTGAGAGCAGATTATAGTGCTTACTGCCAGTTGTACCACTGGAAACCCTTCCCAGCTACTGACTATCAGCTAAGTTGCTTTGCCGCATTCCTTGCTCGCTCAGTAAGACCATGTACTATCTCTGTTTACCTCAGTACCGCGAGTGCGCAACGCCCAAATTCAAAATGGCTTGGGTGATCCGCTGGGAGATGCCTGGCCGCTGAAACGAGTAGTAAGGGCATTGGACGGCCGTTATCACACCTTGCCTGCCTATTACCATGCCTGTGCTCCGCAAGACAGTGGATGCGTGCCAGTTGATGGAACTACTCAACCGATATGACCGTCTGCTGTACCAAGCATGTATGCTGCTTGCATTTTATGGCTTCATTCGCTGTTCCGAATTTACAGAGGAGACTCGGAGGACTGGTGCTCGACTTGCAGACGGCAACATGTAGCTGTTCCTGCCAAAGTCGCAAACAGATCCACTCCGCAATGGCGTCACAGTGTTCGTTGGCCGAGCCACGCAACCGTACTGCCCCGTGGCAGCGATGACAGCATACCTGCTCACTACCTGCCATCATCCATCCACTGCGCCTCTGTTTGTGCTCGCAGACGGACAGAAGCATACTCGTGCGGCAGTTACCACCACTGTACGTTCATTGCTGGCAGCATCTACCGTGCCTAGCCTGCACCTGTATTCCGGGCACTCATTCCGCATTGGTGCTGCTACGACAGCCGCAATGACCGATTTGCCCGACTCTCTGATCCGCGCCGCTGGACACTGGGTTTGGGTTTTTGCGCGATTGCCAATTTTTCCACCAGGCATAAGCTTAAGCACCCTTTGCCTTTGTTGCTGTAGGCCACTGCTTTGCGGTGGATTGCCCATTGAATGCTGCATGCCTTACCTTTATCCTTCTTGGCCCAGACGTAATGCGATAGGCGGACGTCCTTCTCGTGTTGTCTGTGGCGGAATGATGATTGGTGGTTAAAGTAGTGTCGTTTGAATGTTGTTGCTGTTGATCCAGTATATTCTTTCTTCTCTGTACCTGTGGCGACTCTCGCCTTATACACGATGGTTCACACTCGGTCCAGTGGACATGATTCTTTCTTCCGACAGATACAGGTCCTGGTATAGTTATCACCTCCGTTGGCTTGTTTCTTAGGTCGTAGAGTCGTGTTTATTGTGTTGTTTGATGATGGTGGCCATATCAGGGCTGGCACACTTTGAGGGAGAAAATGAGCCGGGGGTGTCCCCCGGGGGATTTTTTTTAAGGAAAATGGCTTGCTGTTGGGACCCCAGAACACATTTTTAACTGTCCACACACATGCAAGCATGCGTGCATTTTAAACCTACATGTACAATGACTGGCCAAACGCGACCTGGAAGCGCCGAATGGCCAACTGGACTAAAAGCGCTCAAAATAAAATAATCGGTTGTCCCTCTTTGGGAACAAAATCGGTCGGTTTGTCCGACAGGCAATCAAAAATCGGATGATTTCCGAAAAATCGGAGCAAGTGGCAGACCTGCCATATTCTGCATACAACTATAGCAAACTTTAACGGATTTACGGTTGAAGATTTTGTTGAGACTTGAGACTTTAGGGAAGTGTTTGGCCGCTACCTGGAGGAAGCGGTGTCCGATGTCGGTTGCGGCGTTCTTGCTGAATGGTGGATTAAACAATAATGTTCCCGTGACGATTCCTTTTCTTCTTTCTTGTGGCGTTGTCTTGTGCGTTTTTCCGCTCGTCAAAGTACTGTAAGTTCTCCAGGTATCCACTCTTTCTCTCAGTACGTCACTGTAGATTGGAGTCGATTCTTTGACCACATTGGAAATATCATATTAAATTATTATGATATTTCCAATGTGTTCAAAATCTTCTGCAGATCGATGCTGGCAAGTTCTGGATGATTGTGGGTGGATGGTGTGACTGGTAGTTGATATACAGCGGCTTGTCGTTCGGTTTCCGGTAAGGGCAGTGCTTCCCAGAGTTCAGGTCCAATGTCACATCCAGAAAGTCGACTCTCTTCACGTCTGTCTGCATCATTATGTTCAGTCCGAGGTTTTGGAATACCTTGGTCAATTCCTATTCTTGTTTGAACTAGCTCTGCCTTTCAGTTTAGCCCACTCTATTGGACAGCCTGGAACCTCCTTTACACATACTTGTGCAGTGAACCTTGTCTAAGACGACCGCTCAAGGGACCTTCAAAACGTGGTCCCTGCTACTAGGTGGTCTCCTTAACCAGGGTCATTTGACTGGATATAGCATCCCTTGATCCTGGTTTCAGTGGTCTTCGGGGACAGGTGGTCACCTTGTCCGAGTGGTCGCCATGACAGGTTTTACTGCGCAGTAAAAGCTGATTTAAGCGACTACCCCACGGTGCAAGCAAAAGCGGTCGTTAATGTCAGGTGGTCTTTAGAACCAGGTCTCGCTGTGTCTGTGTAGAACTGTCGGTGCATGGACAAATGGTCGTTAAGAGCAGGTGGTTGCTAAACCCAGAGGTCGCTTACACCAGGTATTACTGTAGATACGCATGATCTCCAGCTACCAATTGCTGGAAGAATGCTAAGCGCAGTCCCCTGCCATGGTACCTGAGTGGCAATTATGGCCAGTGCATGTTGACGTTGATCATAGTCTTCCCAAAGAAAATCATAAAATTGGAGCTTTGGGACTGTCATTTCGCCAGCTATCGAGAGAAGCACGACGGCTTTAAAAGTACTAGCTGTGGCGCAGCCTTATCTTGTTTTTGGTTCGCCAGAGTTCTTGACTGACCTGTCAGCGTATAATGTGCGTGGACACGACGGTAGAGTTAATTATTATTTTCAAAGAAAGAGAAATACTCGGACAGTTAGTCATAACTCGTAACATTTTGTCCTTCTTTTTCACCATAAAGAGAAATACACTCATACATGTACCTCAGTTCACTGGTCACCAAAGTTACCGGCACTTCCGTCTATCAAGCACGCTTT